TCTTTTGGGTTATTCTGACATTTTAATTAAAAAAAGAAATAATGATTGTCTACAGTGTTGTTCAGACCAAGCGAACAAAAAGTCAGAGTTGCCTACATGCTGGCTACTGAAGTGAGGCTTTCTTGTAAGCCACAGTTTTTGCAGACAGGCTGACATCAGAGTTAGTGGGTGGCATAATGTAACATAGACTGTATTGAATTCACACACTACCCATGTGATGTGGTTTGAAGAAGTGTAGCAGCTGCTTTTTGGCACTTTTGGAAGATTTCTGCAGTGCCTATTAGTTTTCTGGTTATTTTGTCTTAAAAAAAGAAAAAATCCTTAAAATCCAGCTTCTGATGTTTAGGGCTAATTATTTCCAAGTGCTGTAAGGATACAGACTGCTATTAGTGAAAATAACACTAATGAATAGAGGATTAAACACTTTGCTGAATAGTCACCTCAGGGAGTTTAATCATGCCACATATTTCTTCAGCATGTCCTGGAGGATGGAACAGTAGCTTGGTCTGTGCTTATTGGCATTGCTATGCCATAAAAATGTGTGAGGCATTTGTGGGGAATGAAGATTGTATTTCTCAGTACAAAATTATCCTGGTAAAAACCCTTAGGAAGATGCAGCTTTCATGGCAAAAGTTCTTTAGACAGTGTAGCATGTGTTCTGGAAACTGCTACTATTTTGTGCAACGAATAGCTCTTCTCCTATTGTAAGCGATATCCCTATCAGATATTTTGTCAATAAAACCACACTCAGCATTTGTGTACACCAAAGATCTTGATGTATGTTCCTGGCAAATGGACCAGTGTTTGATGTTTCTTTAAAAAAGAAACATAACTTGCATTTGTTTCTGTGAATGTGCTTCCATGGAAGCTACTGGAAAGGGTAAGCCACATTGAAAGGGTTAAGTTGTGATGCTCTCCTGCACAATGCATTTAGCTCAGGTGAGTTGTCTTTTCATTCCTAGGGACAGACACATTTCACCTGTGTGTTATGGCAGCCTGCGGTATGTAGTTAGACCTAGAGCAGCTGAGACATGTATCTAATACAAAGAAATACATTGTCAAAAAGAAGTTAAAATATATGCAGATTATAGTGAATATAGTTGCATAGGAAAACAAATGCTAAATAAATTGTTCTGTGTTCTTGATTGCTCATTAGGCCTGCTCATTATAGTCTTTAATGACTGACTTGTCTGAAGGCACAGACGTGTATACAGAACGCAAGGTAGTGCAAGAAATATTCAGGATGTTTGGTTTTTTGGTTTGTTGGGTTTTTTGAGAGTTTGGTTATTTTGATTCACACATATCTTGGTAATTGTGTTGTGTTTATCATGAGTATTCTAAGAAATTACATATGCTCAATTTGTGCAGGAAATAATCCCAAATGCAAATAACAGTAATTAAGTTTAAGTTTTTTGTAAAATGTACTTATGTGCATTTGGTGTTTTGTAAAGAATAGTGTGTTAGCATCAAAGCCAGCAGCAGCACGAGGCTGAAGTATGTGCTAAAAATCTATGGAAGAAATCTTTGGTATTTAGTCCATTTTTAATTTTTGTCGCGGGGGGCAAGACAGAGTTCACGTAGTAAACATAAAACTAGAATGACATGGTGAGAGTAGCATAAGTAAATATGGTTGCGTTAATTGAAATGCTGAAGATTCACAATGGAAATCTGACAAGTGCAACTTTAAATCTACAGAGTAGTTATTTAATTAGTTAAAAGATTTCTCTGGTACTAAGGCAGATAACAGATACAATAGCCATACTATTTAATTTTTCTAACCTTTGATTAGTCTCATGTCAGGTCATTAAAACAAAAAGAGACAGTCATAAGTATTTGACTCATACTGATTAAAGTTCTCTATTTTAAGCATAACATCAGTGTAAAACAGTCAATGTTGCTACATAGAATTAACCTCTCTTCTCTTGATGTATCTTAAACCAGGATGTTCATTAAAGACTAACTTTTCTGTTGGTACTGAACTTAAGACTTCTACCAGGAGGAGGAGGCCTAGAGGAAGTTGAAGACCACTGTTGCATGTTTAGTGATACAAAAGAAGTTTGAGGTCAACAACATTTGGAAACAAACCAACCAGCCAACCAATGCTAGTGCACACACACCCCACCCTGCCCCCTTAGGTGTTTGCTTGGTTGACTATGCCAAATGGCTGCTTGTGAGATAAAGAAGTTGACAGGCCTCTCTTATAACATTAAGTACTTAAAATATAAAATTGGGGTTTTTTTTGTGGGTGGTTTTTTGGTTTGTTTTTTTTTGATTTGAGGAAGTTATATTCATTATCAATTCCTAAACTTTAAGATTGACAAGCACAGTATCATATGTGGTGCACTGAGAAACAGTAATGTGATTTTGTTTTTTTGGGTGTTATGAAAACATTCATGGTTAACTGATTGCAGTGGTTGTAGGCTCAGGCAGAGCCCTTGCAGAGTTAGCAATGGTAGGTAGTTTTACAACTTACAGTCTTCTTGCTGCTTCGTGGTTTACATTGTGTATTGCATTTACATGGCAAGGTTGGGAGGTGTGGGATGACTGCAGGGGTGGTCTCTGTGAGAAAAGATCAGGGGCTGCCTTTGTGCTGGACACAGCTGGTTCTAGTCAGCTCTAAAATGGACCTACTGCTGGCCAAAGCTGAGCCACCCAGTGTTGGCAGGTGGTGCCTTTGTGATAAGGTATTTAAGAAAGGGTAAAAAATGCTGCACAGCAGCTGTGAGAGAGGAAGGAGAAAAACGCGGGAGAAACAACCCTGCAGAGACACCAGGATCAGTGAAGGAGGGGAGGAGGTATTTCAGGCAGCGGGACAGATACTCCCCTGTAGCCCATGGAGAAATCTATGGTGAGGCAGGTTGTCCTGCTGCAGCCCATGGAAAAGACCACAGTGTAGAAGGTATTTCTCTGCAGCCCATGCAGGGCCCTGTGATGGAGCAGGAGGATATACCCTGAAGGAATCTGGAGTCCATGGAGAGCCCATGCAGGAGCAAGATCCTGGCAGGAACCCATGGATGACCCATGTTGGAGCAGTTTTTGCTGAAGTACTGCACTCCACGAAGAGGACCTGTGTTGGAGCAGGGAAAAAGCGTGAAGAGGAAGGAACAGAGATGAAGCGTTATGAGCTGACCACAACCCTCATTTTCCATTCCTTCTAGAACACTTGGGAGAAAGGAAATATAAGAGTTGGGAATGAAGGAGTGAAGTTAAGCCTGGGGAAGTGATTTTATTTTTGTCTCTGTTTCTCACCATCCTACTCTATTTTTAATTGGCAGTAAATTAAATTTGTCATCCTCAGGTCTGTTTTGCCCATGACAGTAACTGGTAAGTGATCACACTGTCCCATGTGCTTTTCTGTCTTATTTTCTCCCCACTGTCATGTTGAGGAGGGGGAATGAGAGAATGACTGGGTGAGTGTCTGTCAGCCAGACAAGATGAACTTCTCAGACATTGTGAGAAAACAAGGCATTTATTAACCTGTCGGTTTGGTAAATGGATCACAGTTCTTTCACCAGGAAAGAAAGTTTTTATTCTTAGTCTTGCAGTGTATAGGTATCAGTACTGTCGTACAAATTTTCAGCACTGAAGAAAAATGGGAAAATAAGGTGTGAGACAGAAATGGACCTTGTAATGTGTTTTCTTGGAAACTTTGTGAACCTTGTGAACATGTTTTTATACCTTTTAGTATCTATATGGCAGTGGTGTAATGACCTTCCCCTCTGCATCCTTATAATAATAGCTCTATGATAAATCCATTGTGGTTTGAATGTATGGGTTTATTAAAAAAACTGACACAAGCTTTGAAATAAGCTGTAATGTGTGCAAGTCTGGATGTGTACCTTATCCTGGAAATCCTTGAAGGAAACCAGGTGAGCTTTTTTGCTTTCTGTAAGTTTTATCTCTTCCTGAGTATATATTAATCCAATTAAGAAGTGCAGAATCTTTTTGTATTTCAAAGGTTGAAATGGAAAAGTAGTTTTTGCAATTTTGTGGTCAGTAGTTAGCAAGTGGGAACCAACTGTGGCTTTTATCTAGGTGCTGCTTATTTCTTTTCTCTGTTCACATACATGCAACTTACAGAAAAATAAAGCTATGCTTTGAACTAAGGCTGGTTGCTGTTTTTCTCCTTGTAAACTGCCAATTTTGCAGAGAGAATTTAATTCAAATCACTTGAATTCTGGTAGTCCTCAAATGTTTTCCATACTTCCCCATCTTTGAAAACTGCTGAATAATTACTTGTCTGTGAAAAAAAAATAGTGGCAGAGTTCCTGAAAGAGGAGCTCTTTGACATGTTCTCTTGATGAGCTGCAGCAGCACATGCCAGAAAACACAGTACAAGTGAATGAAAAAGATACACAGAATGATTACTGGATCCTCAGGCTAAATAAACCTGCTCCAAATTACATGTATTAAGTATACATTCACCATGTATACTAGATAACTAAATTAATCTAAACGTTTCCAACTTGAAGTCCGATTACTTAAGTCTGATCTTAAAATGTATTTATTTTTAATATTGGAAATTTCCAAATGTTGAAATAAGTTGAGAAGTCCTTCCTGACTTTATATTTCACTTTTTATGTGGATCTTTCTTACATGCAACTTTAACTTATTTTATTGATTCCATCTGTTTCCCTTCTATCCTATCATTGAACTAAAATCCCTTGCTTTTAGGATACTTAACCCAACACTTTTCTCAAATTTTAAAAAACTTAATTTTCAAGATTTGGATGAAAATGAACATGTATTGGCATTGTGTAGAAATAGTGGTTTATTCTCAGTGGTATTCCTGCTTTCTGATTCTTGTATTTAAAAAAACAAAACCGAACAAAAACCATGGAAAGTGCATTTGGGATATCTTAGAGATAGGTCTGAAGTACCTTTAAATGATGGACACATAACGTTTGACAGTTGGGAATTGTGAACTAGTTGCCCATTGATTTGGGTTTTTACACTTAAATATACTAGATGTCTGAATTACTACTTTTTGTTTTAATTTACAGGTGTTATAACTTCAAGAAATGCTGTGACCTACTTGAAGAAGATAATTCATAGGAACTTTTGTCTTGTGATAATTATTTATAACTAGAATGGCTTTGAAAAAACTGCCTAAACTTCTCAAGAAATTTTTTTTTCACTGGAAACTTTGGAAGTTTAGCATCATTGTGTTTGTCTTTCTGGTATTTTTATTTTTATTACAAAAAGAAGTAGGTGTTCAAGATTTTAAAGATGAAGCAGGGATTGAGCCAGTTGTTGGAAAGAAAAGTCACGTGTTAGGTCTCGTGCTAAATGCTATGAACAATATCAAAGGTGCAAAGCCAAAAATGCAGATAAAAGCACCCGTTAGGCAAACTAAGATTCCTGGAGAGAGACACTGTTTGCCAGGATACTATACTGCAGTGGAACTAAAACCCTTTCTAGACAGACCACTTCAAGATCCTAATGCACCTGGAGCTTCTGGTAAAGCATTTAAAACCATCAACTTAAATTCAGAAGAACAGAAGGAAAAACAGCGTGGAGAAGAAAAACATTGTTTTAATGCATTTGCAAGTGATAGGATATCTTTACACCGAGATCTTGGACCAGACACTCGACCTCCTGAGTATGTTGAAATATGTATGTCCTGTTAGTTGAAAAAAACTTGTCAGAAATTCAGATTGCAAAGTGATTTGAGTTCAGCATTAGGTGATAGTTTAGGAAAGTTTCCTAGCTATACATAATGATTGACTGTACATAATGATCCATAGTGCCGAAGCCAAGAATGTTTAGAAAGGCTCACTTTCATGGTTTTGAATTTGAAGTAACCATATTTAAATGAGGTTTTCAGATTTTTGCCTTTAAACTACGATTTCTTAGCGACTTTCTGGAAGCCTGCTAAATTTTACTTAGAAGAAAACTAAAAATGTAATTTAAGCATTTTTCCAAGTTAAACGCTATTTCCCTTCCCCCACTTTTTTTTAAGTATTCAGTGCTTTAGTAAAACCACCAGCATAATTTAACAAATTAGGAATTGAAAATTGTTGAACAAGGCTATGGAACATCTCAGCAATCTTGTATTAATGAAGTCTCTAAGACTTGGTAGAGTGGGTTTCGGTTATGAGGTGTCTCTCATTGTAAGATTATGTATGTTCTCAGCTTTGTCAGAAGTGACTAATCTTACTAAGATGCTGCTGGTAGTATGAATATCCTATTACATGTGGTGCCACTCACAATAACCTTTGCTCAAGCATAACTGGTGAGTTTCTGCTTGCGTATCTTCTGAGGCAGTGGCTGTGATAGTTACCTCGGGGAGTCTTGCAGTCTCTAAAGCTGACAGGCAAAAACCAGTAAGTGTACAGCTCATGAATACAGAAGTCTTGTCATCTTGACTTGCAACTGGATTTAAAGTTATGCTCAGAATATATCAGTGATGGAAAAACTGCATTTAAAATTACTTTCCTTGAATGGGATATGCTTCTCTAAGGATTTTATGGTATTTCTACAAAATTTTGAAGTTCTGAATTAGATCTACTCTATTTTTTTTCTTTCAAACTCTGCACTCTCATAATAAACAGTCAACTTTGTATTTTGCATTTTCAACAGCAATGGTGACTGAAAGTCTGATTTTTGCAGCTCAGTATCTGCTGGTCTCAATAGAATACATTTTTTTTTTTTTCTGAAGAAGGTCTGGGTGCTGTATGAAAAGTTCTCAAATGTTTGAGAGACAGAAGCAGAACTGAGTCAGTTGATAAGTTAAATTCTTGTTCATCATGTTTTTAAAAATTATTTTGTACAGCTTCTCCAGTTGGAGTACCTGCTTTTGTGCTCCAAAATGGGGATAGAAAGTGGAGAAGCTGAAATACTCAATGTCCATACTTGTAAAGATTTGTACTAGAAAAAGAGGGGTTTATTTTAACAGTTTGAGTCAAAACCTTTTGTCCATTTTGTAACATTTGATGCTTTCTGATCTGTAGATGTATTGAACAAAAGTTTAAGCGTTGCCCGCCATTGCCAACCACAAGTATTGTAATAGTTTTTCATAATGAAGCATGGTCCACTCTGCTCAGAACTGTTCACAGCGTGATGTATACATCTCCTGCAATATTGCTAAAGGAGATTATTTTGGTGGATGACGCCAGTGTAGATGGTAAGAAGTCATTTCTATTTTCTCTCTCTTTTTTTTTTTTTTTTAGGATTGCAGAAAAATTGAAAGAGCATATCTCTTTACCACCATTGACATGTATAATAGTATTTTAAGTGGTTTTGTCCTTTCTTTTTCTATAAAACACGAAATATTTCTCCCCATCTTTTTTTCATGAGGTAGTTAAATAAGAAATTCTTGTCCCCTAAAGGTTTTTAAACCCCATTTCTGATTATTCCAATTCTAGTGCTGTTTAAAGTGCATAACTGGTCGCATGACAAGTAGTTCTGTAATCTGTGCTTCAAACCAATTACAATTTATAGAACAAAGTATCCAAGGGTAAATTGGCCAATGCTTGTAGCAATTTGCATTTTATCTACTGATTTTCTTTGTGCAAATTAATTTCATTAATGTGAAGGGCAATGTCTTACCTAGAACTAAAATTAAAAAAACCTAACAAATTTTAAAATTATTAAAATTAATTTTCAATACACTGACTGCCAAAGAAATTTGAATGCATGCTGACTGTGATCACAAATACAGCTCAGCCTTAGATGAACATGTCTATACACGCATGGTTGTATTAATGCATTTACATTTGCAAGTCTGTATGTAGTATACTGACCCACTTAGATGTGAAAGATGTTCAGTAATACAGTTTAATACTAAGGATGGGCAGAAGAACAAAGATGATGTGGGATGTTTAATGAGGGATGTGGGGTTGTTTCTCAAATTTTGCATGTCCAAAAAGTGTTTTATATAGTTTCTGTTGCTGATGTAAATATTACACAGTAGCCTTTGAAAACTGTGTAACATACACTGTCATTCAGGAAAAAATTTGCATGTTCTGGAGAGAACTTGAATAATCTAAGTATGCAGTCTTTTTGCTCTGAAAATGGATTTTGAATTGATATTCAAACTTAATACTACAGAAGAGATATACTAGCACATGTCCTTTCTCGTTTAGAATATTTTTAGAGTTTCGTGTTCTGTTCTTGACCAGTCATGTCTTTCTATGCCCTCACCCTTAACAAAACGCAGTCCCTAAAAATAACATTCAACAGTCAGGAATTTTTTACTGCTCTAATGTGAGGTCATTTCTGGGATTAGTGTGAATTGTTTATCCTGATAGTTTAATAATCTAAAGTTTTAGGCAGTGGCATGTATATACACTGAACATCCTGAAACCAATTTCTCTTTCTAGAATACTTACATGATAAACTAGATGAATATGTCAAACAATTTCAAATAGTTAAAGTAGTCCGTCAAAAGGAAAGAAAAGGTCTAATCACTGCACGGTTGCTGGGAGCTTCAGTAGCAACAGGAGAGACCCTTACCTTTCTGGATGCTCATTGTGAGTAAATCTGTAACTATGCCAGGTCTGCAGGTCTGGTTTATAATGCTGCTGTCTTTGATGTTACAGATTTTTTATATGTTATTAACATTAGCAACATGTCATCTTTGCTATTGCTATTTTATATTACTGAAAGTATATTTAGCAATGCTATTTAAAAGCAGTTCGTATTGGCTTGCTGCGGGCATGTTAAAATATTCTCTGTGTGCTACTGTATAGCCAAATAAAAATTTAGTGCTTGTCTCCATTTTTTCAATAGGTGAATGCTTCTATGGCTGGTTGGAGCCATTACTGGCAAGAATAGCTGAGAACCCTGTAGCTGTTGTAAGCCCTGATATTGCTTCTATAGATCTCAACACTTTTGAATTCAGTAAGCCATCTCCTTATGGGCATAGCCACAACAGAGGAAATTTTGATTGGAGTTTGTCATTTGGATGGGAGTCTCTTCCTAAACATGAAAATAAAAGAAGAAAAGATGAAACCTATCCAATTAGGTAAACATAATTTGAATAATATTTTGAATACTTCAGTTTTCATGAGATTTTTTTGTTATACCGTAGATTCTGGCTTCTCATTCATTATGTTTGAAAGGATGACAACAGAGGTTCAGAACACCAAAATACTAGAGTGTTACAGCAGTGTATTTGGTGATAATTGTATGTGCTTTGGCCACTGAGAGATTACGGGTCTGGAGGAGTAATAACTTTGCTTGATATCCTCCATACAGGGAAAATATGTTATTTTTGCTGATGCAGTTACTCTAAATCGGCTGTTAATAAATGACAATAAAACTGTCAAATGAGATGCAACATGAGCTATCTGTTCAAATCCTGTCTTCCTCGGTAAATTTCTCTTTTTGCAGAACACCTACTTTTGCTGGAGGTCTCTTTTCAATATCAAAAGACTACTTTGAGCACATTGGAAGCTATGATGAAGAAATGGAAATATGGGGAGGTGAAAATATAGAAATGTCTTTCAGAGTAAGTTTAGCTACTTAATTAGCAGTGTTCTCTACACTGACAGGATTTTTGAGGACAAATTATTCTTAGATCTTGACTTCTCTGCTGAATTGGCCAACCAGGACAAGGGAAATGAATTACTAATGACCTGTGATATAAAATAGAAACATACTCACTGGACTATTCTTGTTTGGGGTTTTTTTTAATGTGTTTAGGGTTGATAACTGAAATGTATATTTCCAGGGTTTACCTGATTAGGAAAATCACTTATGGTATGCCTGATACATGCACTCTCGTTAGTGGTTTGGGACTTTTTTCTGGCGAATGATAACATTGCTGATATATTTTCTTTTTTCCACTCCCTTAATTCTAATTGCAGTGCACTTACACAAAAAATGTTATTATTAGGTATGGCAATGTGGTGGACAGTTGGAGATCATGCCTTGCTCTGTTGTTGGCCATGTCTTTCGCAGCAAGAGTCCCCATACTTTCCCAAAAGGTACTCAAGTGATCACACGTAATCAAGTCCGCCTTGCAGAAGTGTGGATGGATGAATATAAAGAAATATTTTATCGAAGAAACACAGAGGCAGCAAAAATTGTGAAACAAGTAGGTGGTGGTGGTGGTATTAGAAATCACACTTGCTGCGTTCAAAGTTTTGGTGAGCAAAAGTTATTTATTGACAAAGTATGTAAGGATTCGAGATATTTTAATGAAAAGACAGTTCAGTTTGCTTAATGTGTAGCTCCAGCAAGCATCAAAAAACTTCACTGGGTGGGTGGTAATAGTGTTGGTTTGTGTGGTGGGTTTTTTGATTGGTAGGGTTTTTTTTTCACACATTCTCTAAAATTCTGGGTTGTTTGCACTGAGCGCTATTGGAACTACCAGAAAAACATGAGAAAAGCTACTGAGCATAGAAAATGGAAACTCACTTATATTTTTTGAGTTTTGATGTTCTTTAGCTGCAGAATAAAGTTTATTCAGTGATAGCTATCCATCCTTTCTCTATCTGCTTAAAAAATTGTTAAATTCAGGGGATTTGGGTGCTGATTTATTTTTTAAGTTTTATGGAACTTTGGTCTTACATAAGCTGGAATCTAGAGTTTTCTTCAAAGGGAAATTTTTTTTCTCTCTTTGTATGACACATTTTGTGACTATTGTATCACTAATAGAATTAGATTTCCTAAGCATATTTAGCAGCTAGGCAACTGAGTTTTGTCTGGGAAATTTTGCATTGTCCTATTATGCTAATTATTTAGTTACTCCAATTCATTATTTCAGATCACTCTTTTAAGTGAGATCAGTTAGCTTTATAGCTGTCATCAGTGTGGTCTTGTTCATACTTTCCCATTTCGTGGCACTGTGTTAAAACTCTCTTGGAACTAAGGATACTTTATTGTTTCCATGTTGCAACGTGCTTGTCTTGCACGTGCTTTGAAATGCTGCAGGCAGGATGTCAGCAGTATTGTAAAACTGAAAAACAAACAGCAGTAACCATAGTAGTACAGTATTTTAAAAAATAATTAAAAATCAGCAAATTAAGCTTGAAGCTAGTTTAAGACTACAATACAGACTATCACGGTTGCATGTGTGCAAACCCGGTATTAGTAACATTGGTATGTTTCTCTTCCATCCTTCCTTGCTTCCCTTCCTCTAACAGAAAACATTTGGAGACATCTCAAAAAGACTTGACTTAAGGCAGCGTCTGCAGTGTAAAAATTTTACCTGGTATCTCAATAATATTTATCCAGAAGCATACGTGCCAGACCTGAATCCTTTGTTTTCTGGATATGTAAGTTGAATATTAATTATTTTCTGTAGTCTTCCTTAATCCAGGACTTTTGCTAGTCTTTTGTGCTACCTTAGCCGTAGCACTTGCATTTTATCTGTCATTAACTGCTCTAGGGTTTTCTGTCACTACTCTGGACCAAGAATCAATCCTGCATACCTTGCTATTTGAGTATTTTATAGCTTTGTTAATGTAAGCAAAGCTTCTTAATAACTAACAGTAGCCTTGCTTAACAGTATCTTACAGCCTGCTAAGATAAACATTCTGCCTATCACTAACAGTTAAAATGACACAAAAGAGTAAACCAATGATGAGAGATTTCCTGAGTTATTAAGTTTAATTTAGCTTTAAGTAGTGGAAAGTCTAAGAGAATTTTTAGTTCATGTTAGTAAGGAAAACTGGGCAGCTGCTTGCTTGTCAGAGTTAAGCTTATGCTGAGGAAAATGTATGTTTATACATTATTTGTATGAGTTTTTTAAAGACCATTGCATTTCCTCTGCCAAATAACCTTAGATATTTCATTGCTAATGCCAAAAAGTGGTAAACAGTTAATAATTCTTAGTTTGAGGTGAATGCAAATGTTTAGCATGTGTTTTTTACAAATAAAACTTTCCCTTCTTCCAATTTTGAGTATTTCCTGTGTATCTGTTCAGATTGTAATTTGAATAACAATAACCTTGTACACCAGTAGCCCAATAATTCAGTGTGTGGTTGTAGACAACCATAATGTAGTTATTAGGCTTCTAGTTAGAAAAAATTAATGAAGAGACAAGAATTTTTAGACTTGAGCATAGCAGAAAGTAAAATGGACTAACAGCTGTAATTGTTGTTAAGCCAAAGGTTAGTTTTGTATACGAGGCAGGTTTTTTTTGTCATCCCCACTGAATGAGCTTCATTCTTTTTGTTTTTCTGACAACACCCTTTCTGTAGTTAAAAAATCTAGGTAATCGCATGTGTCTGGATGTTGGTGAAAATAACCATGGTGGCAAACCATTGATTATGTATTCTTGTCATGGACTTGGAGGAAATCAGGTAAAATATTTGGTACCTGAGTTTTATGATCTGTTCAGCTGTAACTTTACCATATTAAAGCTTTTAATTTATTTTAGAGCAATGGAATAATTTTTAATATGCAATTTCTCTGTCCCTCCTTTTTTTTTTTTTTTTCCTTTTTCTTTAGTAAGAGTTAATTCCTGTTATTTTAGAAAAATTTCATTCTGCTTTTCATGTTGTGTCCCACTTCTAACATTTTATGTTCAGCATACTGATTCAGGTTTTTAACACAATTGCACTGCTTCACTTGATATCTCTTTTCTGTGCAAAACCTTTCCTCCTACCTTTACTACTTTAAGTGTTGTCTTAATTTTTCCTTTCCTTATGCTTCCTCCTATTGCTTCTTTCTCTGCCACCAGGACTCGCACTGTCAAAGAAGATGTTGGTGGGAATCCAGCCAATGGGAGATCAAGTGGCCAGGCCTGAGCCACCTTCCCGGTCATGCTTGCAGCCTCATAGTGGGAGGTCAAAGTGGCCTATCCTGTACTGGCTAATGCAAGTGAATAATACGTTTGCATTTGTCCGAGAAGAGCTCTCTTTGATGCCATAGCTCTTGGAGGCAGCAATGGTGCTCTGTTTCTTCTACAGTATGACTTGCAATAAATGTCAGATACTGAATCCTTCAGTCACTACTGTAACAGTAGTGAAAGTAACATCTTATCTTGTTCCTTGCCCAGAAATGAAGGCTTCTCTGTTGCCTTAAAGAGTTATTTGGTGAATAAAATTTAACTGCAAATCCTTAATAACTAAAGGTCGAAAAATATTTAAAAGGTTTTGTTAGAATATAGTAGTAATTTTTATTTTTCTTAATAAAATCTCAATTTTCATGTCCTCCATTGATGACACTGTGAAAACTCAGACACCTGGTTGATACTTTCCTAAACAAATTTTGTGGGAGATGGAATACTGTTTAGGTTAACTACTACCCTGTTATGTTAGCTTCTTACAGTATTGAAATTATTTTTTTCTTTATTCTGATGTGAGTCAGTACAATATTAGGCTTTTCACATTATCAGAGTCATTAATGCAGGAGCACAGACATTCTATTAAGAGGTCTGCCATCTGCTTCTATTGTCAGCTCTCCCTAAGTTATCTTGGGAGCATACTAAAAGTATGTTTGTTTTTCCTCCTGCCATAAAGTAACAGTTTAAATCCCTTTAAATGCCAACTTTCAGAGCGTTTTAATATAGGTTTTGCTGATAGTGTTTGAGAAATGTGCATATTTGCTTACTTAACCCTTCTCATTACAATACTGTTTCTAGTTTGTTTATGTGCTTTACCAGACTTTAGCAGTGAAGGCTGAAATTTTCCATGCTACCTGTTGTCTTTGTCTATATACTCGAGACAGGAAAATGGAGCAGAATCTAGAGAACCTGTTTTTCAGAGTTGTACATGAACTGTTTATCATTCTTCCTTTGTAGAATATTCTGGGGCTGGGAACGTGTTCATCCCAATATCAGAAATTAATAAAGATTTAAAGCTAGCCTTCATGTCTTATTTTGAGGGCTTGCAGAGATTTTTTTTTAGTTCAAAAGATAAATTGGAACAGATTAAGTCAGGTTAACAGTAAATTATGTCTGAGAGCAAAGTGACTAAGTAGGTCACTCTTATCAACACCTGTTCCAGGGAGTAATTTTGGATGCAGAGACTTCAGAGCGAGATGCCTGTTTGTTCCTTGGTGTTATTTCCATTGATGCTAAGGCAGGGAGGAGGCACAATCTAGCCAGTTGGACAGGTAGTTGAAAGTTACAGGGAGATACCTGAGCCTGGTCTTAATAGTCAAAAGAAAGATACACTGAGGAAGGCTGATGTTCAGAGCAAGGAACAGTGGTAGTGAGATGTAATAATAGGAACTCTGCTGTTTAATGAGGGAGAGAAGGAAAAGAGGATGGTATGATAGGACTAGAGGTATAAGAGGGCAACTGTTAGAATTAAATCCCTGTTAAGACTAGAATTACAGCCTAGGATTCCTGAGCCTTAAAAATACTCTGCTTTCAAGAAATAATTGTGAAGTTCACTCGTGAAATACGTTATATTACTTTTCTAATGGCTAGCTCACAGCATCCTATGGTTCAGCAAATGTGCAGTAATCAGTGTTGTTCTGTGTGACAATTTTTTTTTTTTAATTTGCTCTAAGAAAAGAACAAAATCCAGCAACAAAAATTGAATGAAGATTTTTAAGAAATGCCAATATTTAAGTTATGTCTGCAACTATCTCCACTCTTCAGTTTGTCTCCTTGAATTATATATGATTCCTGAGAGAGCAATCAATGAGATCTTGCATCATAATACTTATTTGTAATGTATACATTTAAGTACTTCTAAATACATTCTATTGCATTAGTATTAAAAAGTGTGTTTAGTTTTGTAAACACTTCTAAAGTGTGTATGCTAGAAATAAGAGAAATTACTCTGTAGTCTCAAATTGTTGAATAACGAATCTATTGTGTATTTAATTTCAAAGGGTTAATTTAGTTTAATATTCTTGTTAGTGTTTATTTACCGATTTATTTTTAAATTATTTAAACAGTACTTTGAATATTCTGCACACCATGAAATTCGACATAACATTCAGAAGGAGCTTTGCCTGTATGCTTCTAAAGGACCTGTGCAGCTTCGTGAATGTAACTATAAAGGCCAGAAAACCTTTGCTGTTGGAGAAGAGCAATGGCTGCATCAAAAGGTATTTAGACTGTGCAGTGAATCTCCATTTTTATCAGTGATTTGTATGAGTTAATTTTTGATTTCCAATAAAGGAGAGAACCCCAGCAATACAAAACTCTGAAGCCAAAAAGGAGTAAGTTTATTTCTGGGAGGAAAGTGCAGATAATTCCAGCCTTTCAGTTACTAGATCAAAACTTGATGATGTTACTATTTTAAATGTAAAGTAGAAATCCAGCTGATATCCTTTAGTATCTTTAAAATATTTTTTTCAAATTTTCCTAACAAAATATCTTGTCACTTGCACACTACTCATATTTCTTTGCTGCCCCCCCTCTGTATATATTCAGGGCCTTACTTTTCAACAACAATGAACTTGGGAGAAAATGAAGAGTGGTGGGGAAAAAAGCATGCTTGATGTTTGTTCACTTTATTCATATTTTTTTCCTTCTTTTTTTACCCACTTTAGGATCAAACTCTGTACAATGCAGCACTACATATGTGCCTTACAGGAAATGGAGAGCATCCAAGTTTGGCATCCTGTAATCCATCAGACCCCTTCCAGAAATGGATCTTTGGCCAGAACAATTGAGACTTGATATTTATAGGCAGGAACATTTTATTAAAAGATCCATTCTAAACTGTGATTCATATATGTGTACTGCATTTTTAAGTGATGCAAAATGTTTAAGCAGTTTCTTTTCCCTTTTATTTAAGTTGGATATAAAATCTGTCATCGCAGATTCCCCAGGAGTCTGTTATACCAAAGATGATGAGATCCCAATTAAGAAAAATGTTTACAATATTTCTATGATAAGACTTTATATATTGACCAGTGATTTATGGATTCTATTAGTCCTTTTTCACCCTTGGGACCATAGGTATATTGTTTTTCCACATATTGTGAGTACTTCTGAGGAAGACTAGTTTTCTCTGTAGAGTTACGAGAAATTATTGAATACTGCTTAAAAACCAAGACACTTTATGTATATTTTTATGCTCAATTGATTAACTTTTTTTTTTCTTTTTTCTCTTTAATCATTTACTCAATGAACCTTTCTCAGTGTTTTTTATGTTCCTTCACTTGAAAATTAAATATTTCTCCTTCAGGTTAAAGTCAAATAGGCTACCACACTGTGCTCAGCTTCTAGTGAATCAATTCTTCATTTGTAGAAGAAAATAATAATTCTCAGTGAAATATGTATGATTATTTTCATGGAGAATTTGTTTATTCTGATATTAATCTCTTTTTGTTTAGCCAAAATGTTTTGTATAGGTCCTTTTGTATTTCATGAACTTTAAAATTTATGACAAAGTTATATTGTAATAGATTTGAGCTGCTTAACATAAACACATTTTTCTCAGCATTTTGTTTATTATTGATTTAAAATCACGTTCTCTAGTAAACACACTTTTTTTCGTTTATGCGATGTTTACCTAAGAGGTTTCTAATATTACCTCTACATAATTTCTTGTGTAAAAACTTGCATGTTGATTTTATTTTTCTTGTTGTTGCTGTTTCCTCTTTTACAAAGGATTGACCTCAGTTTTATCAGTCCAAGTAAGACTTTAGCCTTTCATGAAATGTTGTATTCTTGTAAGCATCCACAGCTAGACTTCACTAGATCATGTAGAGCTATGACTTCATAAATAGCCTTCCTTTGATTAAGTATTTTATATATATTTGTTTATTCTACTGCGTGCATAGATATTAAACACCTTCCTGTTAGTCTTCCATTACAATCACCAATCATGCCTATTTTCTGACTGTGGTTATCTCAGGCCAGAAAGAGGCAACATTTCTGCTCAAGAAACGTGCTTTTTAGGAACAGAGATGTACGCTTACTTGAAAATGTCTACTTCAGGGTATGAACGTGAGATTATTGAGCATCCCAGTCTTAAAGCATCTAAGGTCATGTAAGATTACACTTTAGTATGGTAAGTTCTATTTCAGAATAAAATTTCATATTCTTATTTGGAGAGGACTTAATTGGTTTATGCAAATTGTGGAGGTTTAAAAAGAACCTTAAATTTGCATGTGTTATGATATGGGAGAAAAGTGGCTGTGACATTAAAATAATAAACTTCTAGGAAGGGAAGAAAGCAGCAGAATAAAGACAAGTAAAAGACTGTTGTCTAGGAGTGCCAATGTTAAGTAGGGATGGGAAACATCAATGGTAGTAAGGTATTTAAACTTTGCAGCTTCTTTGAAAGAATTGCGTTGAACATCTGTAGTATCTTCTAATGGAATAAAATAGGAGGCGTAATAGCAACCAGCGTAATAATGAATTCTTTAATAATCTGAATCTCAAGAAAAGTGCACATAACAGTGGAAAGTTGAGCAATAAGGTCAAGCCTAGCTAGATGCAGCTAGTAACTATTTTAGGAGATGTTTAGTATTTTCTTTAAGTGCTATACTTGTAAGAGGAGGGAGGTTAAGGAAAAAGTCATGGCTGCCAAAACGAAAGAAAAATCAAATTTAGATTGAAGAATTTTATTTTTTTTTTAAGTAATATAAAGCTGAGAATAAATTTGAAGGGTACTAACGATTGAACAGGACAAAATACACTAATATTAAATTTGTCCTTTTGTCCTGTTAATAAATAATATCATTACATATAAATGCTAATTTTTCTGTGGAGTCAGGCAACTGAATGGATGGATATTGTTTTGGGATTTTTATTTCTAATTGGGGGAGGGAGACTGGCTTTGGTTAATTTACCATCATCTGATTAATGAGTTCAGCTTCTGAAGAAAAGCAAGAAGAAATCCTTTCAGTAGTTTTAAGTCATCTGAAAGACAAGTGAATAAGCAAGAACCAGCAAGAGTTTGTCAGAAGTATTAATGTTTTTTTTTTTTTGGCTTGATAATCATGCCTTTGAGTCACATCTTGGCTTCTGCTAGGCTCTTGGTGACATCTGTGAGAATATCCTGTGAAGCTGAAGCTAAATCTACATGACTTAGAATAACTTGCTGTGATGTGAACATAAGTTGCTGAAAGGGCTGTACTGGGAAAGGTTATTCATGCCACTGGGAAACTGGAAAACTGTATGAAATGGCATTGCACCAAGAGCTGCCTGTGTCCTCTGATAAATATTTACATAATTCAGTAATGGAATACGAAGTATTCTTACTGTTTTTGAGATCAAACCAATATTGAGAAGGCAACAAATGCTCTTGACAAACTGGAGGAGTTGAGGAAAAATAGGATGCAGGTCAATGAAAAAAGTGTTCAACAAATATGAATAGAGGATGGGAGATTACACAGGTAACAGCTGTGCTGTGTTGACCCCCAGGTATGACATGGAAACTGAGTGTTCAAGGAACTGTTCTAGAAAACAAGGTATTTAGCATAACTGTTTAAAAGGACTTGAGTTCTTCTAGTTCCTAGTTTGTTCTAAACACAAATGCATTATATAATTTTTAAGCATAATTTTCTCTGGCAAACTTGTCAGGTTGCAATTTGCATATATGAAACATCGTTTATCTACTCATTACCAGCCTTTTTTTTCTTTTTAGAGGTAACATTCCAAACCAGGATAGACTTTAAACTCCAAGGGAGCAAGTGTCCTGTTGCACATGGAGGTAGGACTTTCTTTATGAGCACTACTAGAGGAGCTCCACTTCACCTTTTTTTAGGGGTTTTTGGATTTTTTTGGGTTTTATTTGTTTGGGTTTTTTTCTAGCTGGTAATTTAAGCCCATATTATAGCACATAGCAGTACATGTACTTGTGACTGTTTTCTGCAAAAATTAAATATAGCAGTTTATCTATGGTGTATATATAATAACTTGGTGTTTTTACTAGTTTTACTAGAATTTTGCTACTATTGCAAACACTTTTTTTTTTTTTTTTTGTATGTTTACTATCTTTAAGGTATGAGTGACATTTTAGTCTGTATTTTTGCAGTAGTTGGTACAACAGCAACTCAGTCCTACTTGGACTCCCTAATACCTACCAGAAAAGAGGTAAGCAGAGGAAGGTATTGACTTCTTTTGTGCTATTCTGGTTGGAGATCTGAAACTTCTGTGTCTACATTAAGGACTGCGCTTCCAAATATGCACACATATATATATATATATATATATGTGTGTGTGTATAGATGGATATAATGCAATTTTACAAGAGCAATAAGCGATGTGTAAATATGATTGGAGGTTTAGAAAATATTTTTAAGTTATTTTTTAAAAATCACTTTTTCGAAAGTAGTGAGCAGCAGTAAGAAAAACTGCAAGCAGTTCAAGTAGTAGCTATTATGCATCTTCTCTGTGCTTTTCTAGCAGCAGTCTTCAGTCTTTCCTGAAAAATAAACTATTTCACAGGGGTTTTTTAGAAGCAGATGTTCTCCTTAGCATAATTTATTCCTCCAGCATGATTCTCTTGAGTAATTATAGTATGTTCTACAATGCAGTACTAACTTTTTTTTTGTACTTTGTTTTGCTGTATATATTTCTTTAAATGTGTTGAATTCTGAGAAATACATGAAACTGAAAGAAATTGTGGACGCTGCTTCCGTTTAATCTCCCGCATTTCAGGAACTAACCTTTCTTAATCTTATGTATCTGACCAAGGTTATAATATTAGATTGAGATGTTGGGGGCTTGATTTCAGTGGCTAGTTGTCAGAAGTATAGCCAGTCCTTTGAGCTTCTTGTGCACAAATCTTCTTTAGGGTTGTACTTTCTATCAGATGTTTCAAGGAAGAGACAAGTAGTCTTTTTTTGGTGTTTTAAAGTATCTCCTTAATTTTTCAAGTAGGGATTTAATTGCCAAAACATTCTCTCCACAACTGCACTTGTGTCAAAAGGACAGTAATATTCCAAGTAGTAGTTTAATATTAGGATGTTTAAAAAAAAAAGGATTTTTATTTAAAAGCTTTTCTGCATTATAAACATTAACCATTCTCTTTAGGTTGCCCTCTCTAAAAGTTTTGGAAAAGTGTATTTGTAAAGTTAAATCTACAATATCTGATTCTGTCCTTTATAATGTAAATGTTAGCCTGACTTTATATTTTGTAAGTAACAACTTTAGCATGTTTTGCTCAGTTTCTCCCCAGTCTGAGGGAGAAATTAATGCAGGTTTATTATTTTTTTTTTTTTAAAGGAAGAAAAAACCTTTCAAAAGTAGGGATGGAAACCAGAAGAAAAAAAGAAAATCAATATAGGAAGGAGGTAGGTGGATGGGGAAAGAGCTGTATTGCAAATACCACGGGTTCTATCTAGACTGCCCCTTTGTTTTTCGGGGGGGAATGGATACAATGATTTAAAACTTTTCAGCATTCTGTCCAGTGACTGAAATCATGTATGTTATGTGTATTTCTGCTCAGCCCGCTTTCTCATGAAATAGTTTTACATGACGGAGGTTCTGGTGATTGATTTTATGATGGGACGTTGCATTTCAAAGTGGTTTAGAATCAGATCAACATGATATTCACACTGAAAAGCTGCAAAATGAGAATTCATCTCTTTGTGCAAAATAAAAAATAGAAATGTTGGGTCTTCTGACAGGTACCACATCAGTTACATAGGATAGAGGAGTTTCAGGAACAAAAAAGCTTGTGGGGAAGGAATAAGAATTTTTAATGAATAATATTTATGTTACTAAAGTGTGATGGGAAGAATATTGTCAGAAACAGCATCCACACAGGATGTGGACACTTTAAAGAGCTCCAGTGTTAGAATCATAAAGTGTTGATGTTTCTTAATGACAACATTCACCAAAGTTCACTGAATTGATTCTTTTGGAGTGCCTCAGTTCCGCACAGATTATATAGGTCTGAGAAGTATATGTGCTTTCTTCTCTA